GCACCTGAGCGGGAACACACTGGTGGTGATGGCGGTCTAGGAGATAAAGCTAAAATTGAATCGGAGGCACCGAAGGAAGATGCAGATGGCGAAAAAAAGACTGCGCCGGCGAAAGGTGCGGAGATTAAAGTTCGCCGCTCTGGAGAGGCCAGAAGAAGATCAGATTCAGATCCAATGGCATTGTTTTCCCAGAGTAATTTTTAGTTTTCCTTTTCAAATTATTTGTCACAGTAATCTTATTGTCAGGTTTAGTTTTCACCTTTTTTTTCAAAAACACAGGTAAATAAAAAGGACTTACAAAGTTAGGGATTGGAAAATAATTCTTTTCAACAGAAAAAAATTAGGTGGCTCGCATAAGTAGAACAGATGGTGAGTGACAGCCGAAGGTGTGCAAGTCGGAATCGAAAAGTCTAACACAGTTGCGCCTGACGCGTAGGAGCATCCCAGTAATATTAGTGACAGGAGATAGCTGGAATGGTCCTGATTTGTTGGTCTTTACATCAGACCAAATCCAGTTTGGCTTCCATCACGATTTCTTGGCTGAAAAAGTGAACAAACAATTCAAAAATTTTTGATAGTCAAGACAGAGTTCGAAAAGATTGTTTGATTTCAGCAGAACAAAGTCCAAAGCGATGGGAAACGGAGAATCTTTCTTCGTTCAGACGCGCAGTAAATTCACTGCTGGAAGATCCTCTCGTTGCGAGAATAATGAGTTCGTTTTCTGCAATCAGTTTTTTTGCATGACTTTTGCTTGCACCTTTATTGTTTTTCATACGAACGCAGACGCTGCCGAAATAGCATTACAGGGAGGTATTATAACTACTTTTATTCAGCTACTGTTTCATCCCGAACATTTCGGCCGGCAGGTGATGCAGCTGACAACTTTTCCGTTCTTCTCTATTTTGCGCCTCTCTCTGCCATGTAAATTAAACACAGTTGTCCAGCGAGATCTTTTTACCGTTTTGCCAGCCTCCCCCGTGTTTTCTCAGTATTGCGCATCATTCAGTAATCCACCTATATCAGTACACCTCTTGCATCTCATTCATGCCACATAACTAGCCTGACTGTTCCTCGTAGATTGCCCAGTTTTGGTGAACTTCTCAACAGCTATGACGCATTGTTTCATGGTTTGCTGGAACATTACTAGTGACCATACCCAAAATTAGTATCGCATGAATGCGTTGTTTTGGTAACCACTACCATATAAGAGTTGGAAAAGACATTTTTTTTTTTTGGTGGAAATTGTTTATGCGTAATTTTTTGCAGCCAACGAAACCTTACCGGTGCAGCTGCAACCAGAAGAAAAGCGGAGTTTTTCGCAGGCGCTGCGCGGATTTGTGAATTCAATCAACAAGATATTTCCACCAGAAGCTTCAAAAAGTTGAAGGCGCCATTCGATTCATCGGCACGCTTACTTCACACTCGTTCTTTTATTTTGATTTATCTATTATGTCATTCTAAATGTATTTGGTTGCTAGCCTATTCAGGGATTTTATGTTGTTTTTTTCTAGAAATTGCTCCAACTCTTACA